ATAAGCCAGATATTGTGGTGATAGATCGATTAGAGCGCCGCGCAATGATTGTTGATATCGCCGTTCCTCATGACGAGAATCTCGTGAAAGTTGAAAAAGAAAAACAAATCAAATATTTGGATTTATCTCACGAGATTATCGATATGTGGAATGTTGATTCAGTGATCATTGTTCCGATAGTCGTATCTGCTCACGGATTGATAGCCAAGAGCCTCGACCAACACCTTAAGAGGCTCACGTTGGACGGCTGGATCAAGGGTCTGATGCAGAAGGCAGTCCTTCTTGACACGGCTCGTATAGTGAGGAGGTTCCTATCTTTGGAGTCCTAACCACCGATGTCTTGGTCCCTGTACCCGATGTCGGTGGTTTACTATTTTTTATATTTTTAAAAGTATTTTTTTAGAGTGTATGTTTGTAAATAATATATAAAGTAAATAAAATCCTTTTATTTTAAATACTTACATATGATACATAGAAACACCCAGACCAAATCAAACATTAAAAGTTCATGCACACAAATGTTTGACTTGAGCGGGAATCGAACCCACGACCTTTGGAATAGCAGTCCGTTACACAAACCACCGCTATGCTATTGGATTAAGTATAAATACGAATCAAAGGACTATTTGTGGCTATGCGCCAGGTTTTACATTCTCCCTCTCAGCATGCGGCGTGAAATAGCAGACGTTACGTTTCTATTGGGGATAATATCGGGACGTGTAGATTGCCCCGATCTACTTCGGACTAAAACCGGTCGCCACCTTCTGTCATCGTTCCACATGGCAAAATTTTCATCCCCACCACTTGGATAATTGGTGCTCTACCACTGTGCGCTTTTCAAGACACTTTTTGCCTCGCACTAGCAATCTGTGGAACAAGTTATCGGCTGCGGTACTTCCGGACCGATACGACCTTCAAACCTTCAAGAAAAGAGCACACAGAAAACCGGTGTTAAGCAATTATTTCGTTGCCTTTCACTGAGTGAGTGAGGTTACCGGAGCCCAAACCAGACCCAGACCTTGGGGTCCCTCCCGCTCGAGTCAGCGGGAGGGACTCCAAGACTCCAAGGTAGCAACGCACTTGTGACTCCTGAGTTACAGGCGTTTATGGGCGGCGGTAGTTGCTCTCCATCAGGTGAACCGTTTGCCCCCAAAAAGAAACTTCACCCATTCACTTACCATTGGTCTCCGCGAACAATCGCCAGGATACGTTTCTGCAACGAGCGAGCAATTCGATTAACAGAAAATGTAGCCAATTAGACCTTTGTCCGTGTGGTGACGGATTAAGAATACAGAGTCTCACCACCCCTATTCATCCCGTGGGTGTCGTAAGAGGCGACTAAGGGAGCAAACTACGCAGGACAACAGCACTGCAAAGAGAAGGAAAACTTAGAACAAACCCTTTACAAACCCGTATGGCCAGCGTGGTATAGTAGGCATAACCCTCCTATCTAAGGAGAGGCCTATGTCCAGCAGTGGACTAGTAATGGCTGTTGATGAGTGACGATGAGACCTTTACATATTTGTGACTTGTCAGCAGTTGGTGAGACGGGCACTTAGTCTTGAGTTCTTTTCAGAATACTAATTTTATTAAGTGTTGCACTTGATTCTTTTTTAAACTTATAATCGCTTTTAAATACTAAATCCTCTCACTTACCTATTGTAAACTGTTTTCTATTCGTGAAGACCTGTTAATGGCTGAATGTAACCTATACAATATTAAATCAATTTGTAAAGCTGTTGGTCTTTCAAGATCAAATAATCTATACTAATATTATAAAGCTGAAGAGTTTGTTTGTTTGTTTGTTTGAACGCGCTAATCTCAGAAACTACTGGTCCGATTTGAAAAATTCTTTCAGTGTTAGATAGCCCATTTATCGAGGCTCACGTTGGCACCAATGAAGAATGTTGCAAAAACGGGGAAAATTAAATCCTTTTAAAAGACGCAGACGAAGTTGGGCGAGTCAGCTAGTATAATATATATTCTATTCTACCACATTCACACAACGCCATCTAGTCCCAAACTAAGCAGAGCTTGTACTATGGGTACTAGACAACTGATATTAATACAAATATCCTTTTTTTTATAAATACATACATATTATACATAGAAACACGCAGACCAAATCAAACATCAAATGTTCATGCATACAAATGTTTGACTTGAGCGGGAATCGAACCCGCGACCTTTGGAATAGCAGTCCGTTACACAAACCACTACGCCATCCAGTCGTCATCCAAATAAATAAATAACATACAGACTCCTTGGGGACGGCAGCTGCCTCTTTGCCCGCACCTCGCTACGCTCTTGGGTTTAGGCTCTGCGCATCAGACATTCCGTCAGTCGGGGTAAATAATTTTATATGTAAATATTTACCGCCGAGGACACTCCACTCCACTCGGACCCATTTCATCGCCGGCGAACCGGGTGGCGGCTTATCACCGCCTCATTCCGCCCTGTGTGAGGCCGCGGGTGGACGAGACGGGTTTTCCCCTCCACCAGCCATAACGTCCAGCCGGAGGCGCTTCGGGTTCATTCTCCATTTAGGCGCGTGTGCCGGACGTCGCCTAAATGGAGAATGAACCCGAAGGTGTTCGCGCCATTGTGGGCAGGCGCTAGAAGGGGTCCGGATGTCTTAATAACAGCTGTTCCCGGATCCCTCCTATTACAGGCGAAGAGTGGCACACCGTGTGGTTTTAGTCGGTCCGAGTCCGACACACCACCCCGCCATAAACCCTGGTGGGATGACGGCCCGAGGGGGTTTTCACCCATAAAAAAAAGGGTTTGTTTCAAGTTTTCCTTCTCTTTGCAGTGCTGTTGTCCTGCGTAAATGTTTTCCAGCGTCCTGGCAAAATATCACCCAAAAACTAAGGAATGATGAAACCAGTTTAGAATACAATTTATTAATCATTTCTTTTTACTATTATAATAATTTCATAATAACGGGCCTATTGGTCTAGTGTTTAGCGATCCTGACTACTGAGCTACAGGTAGTGGGTTCGATTCTCGCCCATCCTTTATATAAAAATGCAATGGCTTGACACAAAAATTAAAACTAATTTACAAAATATTCATCATCTGCTTGCTGTTTTTAAGGAGTTCCGGCTGGTGTCTTTGATGACCGGGCCACCGCCCTGACGCCAACCTTAGGGATGTAACAGACAGATTTAAAGACGGGACATAGTTGGAGATAATTTTTTATATGATATAGAGGGCCAAACGAGGAGACAGTACACCTGATGGTTGTAGCCGCTTTTCTTCTCAGGCGGACTACTCACCGGCTGACCCAGTGGAGAGATTCAAGAGATTACCTCAGGGCGCCTTGTATGAGAATAGAAGTGTGTGCGTGTGGGAAACCTATGGGACTCTTTAGAGGAAAACAACTTACACCTCAGTCATACATACATGTATATTTCAAAAAAAAACTTGATTACATTTACAAAAAGAAATTTAATAAATTAATCAGTGTGGGTACAAGAAAAAAAAAAAAGAACCGCAGCGGAGCGCGTTAGAGCCGAGCTGATGGTGCTCGGAGCCTTCTCGTCTTCACTCTGGGAGGTCCCTTCACCTTCCGCCCGAGTCGGCTATTTATATTAGATATTGATGAAAGTTAAACAAATTGCATTTATAAGTTTTTAAGTGAGTACGTAACCCTTGGGTACGGCTGTCCGCTTGCGTCGTGAGCCGCGCAATCACCAGCTTTGCCAGAGGGTACCGAGAAACTTGATTCTGAACCAGAAGGCCACAAACGAGCAAGCACGCCGTCTGAGACTGACCGTCTTGACCCCGAAATCTGGGACCCTACGAATGGATTAGCACTCATATAATTAATCAGGTTCCAGAAACAAATAGGTAAAAAAAGAATTAAAACCTTACTCACCACTCTCGTGGGTAGATTTGAACAGATAATATATTACGAAAATTAAATCACACAACAATCAAAACACTATTTAAGATTGGAAGACACGAGATAGCAGAGTGTCTCCCGTGGCTGAAAGCCGGACTTATATATCCTCGGTTCAGGAAGCTTCCAGACTTTATCCCTACTCAACATTTTACTTTGACATTTAAATTGTGAAAGAAAGCAACGCTTACAAAATCAAAAGTAACTCCTTCCTACCATAGCAGAACACTCTCAATACCTATACAATTTGTCATGACAGATTAACAAAACAGATTAAAAAAAGTAAGTCTTTTTATTAATCTATCATGTCTCAAACAAACGCCATCTAGTGGACCGAAAGTGAACGAAGAAGATCAATACCGTAGCTACAAACTACTTTAGATAAATCAACAACAATGCGATGCGGCCAATAGGTGTCGCTTATATCAAGACCGTACGCATTACAAATATACCAAAAAATAACTGTTACATGGTGAGTGGCTATTGGCTCTCAAGAGTCACAAGTACGGGGCCGCATTATGAACCGCCCCACCCAGAATCAGGAGGAGGGTGGTTTTAGGTTCCGGAAACCTGACACGTAACAAACAAAAGATTTATATACCAAGGGTTTTCTAGGAGTCCGTGGTATGACAGAGCCAGCCCATTTGTGATATTTTGAGTCTAGCCCACGGCATAAGTATACAGGTATACATAAATAAAATAAAAGAACAGTTTATATAAAAATTTATATATTTTTAAGTATATCATTAATTTTATCTACCTAAAAACATTTTCTGAAGTCTGTGAAACTGCTTCATCTGTTAAAATGAGTCATGAAAGAAGAAACTCAGAAGAAGATTAGAAGAAGTTCACGAGGTAGATGTCTAGGTTCAACTGGAAGGTATTTTATTTTTTCTCTCTTTCAGATACAGTATGTATTCAAAAAAATCTTCTTTATACAGCATGTTATAACACTGCGAGATACACCTTTCTCTAACACGCTGTATATGTAATACATTTATATTTTACTTTAATGTATGTAAGGGGGGTAATTGGGGTTGCCCGGCATAAGCTATTTTTATTGAACACCGTGTGGTTCTTGACATGTACCCAACCATTAGAGGGTATAATCATTAGGATCGTAAAGCTCTGAGAGCATCCGGTACATATAGGATGGTGAACTGCCGCCTCTGAAAGACAGAAATAAGAGAAATTAATTGTAAATAAAAGCTAAGACTAGTTCAGAATAAGATTTGTCAGGATTGGCATTATTTTTTTGTTTAAAAACAACTCGCGCACTAGGTATATATCCTGTGTTTTGGGAGACTTTACAAACATACATGAAACGGACACAAAGAACACCCAGACTCAGAACAACAATTTGTGGATCACACAAATTGTTGTCCCATGTGGGGATCGAACCCACAACATATGAAATGAAGCAGCGAGGTGACCGCTTAAACGACTACACCATCCGTGCAGTCGAATTTATTCCTTTACTAGCTGAGACCCGCGGTGTTACCCGCGTTTCTTGTCATAACCGCGGGCAACGCCGCGGGGCGAAGCTAGTCCAAAAAAAAGTTACTCCTTATATCATCAGCTATCTGCCAGTGAAAGTCTCGTCGAAATCGGTGCAGCCGTTCCAGAGATTACCCGGATCAAACAGACAGACAGACTGACAAAAATTGAAAAAAATGTTATTTTGGCATATGTACCGTGTAAACATACATATGCATTTAGTAAAAAGAGGTTATTTTAATATTACAAACAGACACTCCAATTTTATTTATTTGTATAGATTACTTACAAGTTGGTGATGAACAGTGTGATGTGATCTGGTGGCGCGAAGTCGTACATCGGTGTATACACGTGCACATCACCGACTTCGTGATTTCTGTGAACATTGTAAGTCGCTGTATATATTTAACAGTGGGTTCGATTCTCCGACCAGGCAAAATTTTAAAGGGTTTTTTCTGAGCAGGAAAATAGCCTAAGTTACTCCGGCTAATTATAGATAGCTACCTGGTAATAAAATATTATCAAAATCAGTCCAGCCGTTTAGAAGATTACCCGGAACAAAGAGACAGACAGAGAAAATTTTTTTAACTGGTTTTTAGGCATAGGTATCGTGCAAATAACCGTGTGAGCATGAAAAAAACCTATTTTTTTTACATTACAAACAGACACTTCAATTTTATTTATTTTGTATAAATTAAAGTACTCAAGACAACAGCAAAGAGAAGGAAAATTGAAACAAACCCTATACCAACCCGTCTGGCCAGCGTGGTTTAGTGGGCCAAAACCTCCTGTCTAAGGAGAGGCTTATGTCCAGCAGTGGACTATTAAAGACTGTTGATGTGTGTAATGTACGAGGGGTGATCAATAAGTAATGATAATCAATATGAAACAGAACTATTAGATTAAAAAAAGTATTTTATTTTTCAACATAGTCTCCTTGCAAGTTAATACATTTAGTGTATCTTTTTTCTAAGCCCATGATTCCCTTAGAAAAAAATTCTTTGTCTTGACCCTCCCAAAATGCCTCTACTGCGGCCATCACTTCACTATTGTCCTCAAATTTGTTGCCCCGGAGGTGTTCTTTGAGCCGAGGAAAGAGGTAGAAGTCACTGGGAGCTAGATCTGGCGAATAGGGAGGGTGTTCGAGCAGTTCGAACCCCGTTTCTTCAATGGCAGCCATCGCAACTGCGGCTTTGTGAGCCGGGGCGTTGTCTTGGTGAAACAGCACTCCAGCGCGCAGTTTACCGCGTCTTTTTGACTTAATAGCTTCTCGCAATCTTCTTATTTGGCCTGCGTAGTAAGAGCCTGTTATAGTGGCCCCCTTTTCCAAATATTCCACCATAATAATTCCTTCTGCATCGCAGAAAACAGACGCCATAACCTTTCCCGCTGAACTTGACACTTTGAATTTCTTCGGCGTTGGTGAGGAAGCTCGTTTCCAAGTCATTGATTGTTGTTTGGTTTCGGGATCAAAGTGGTGGATCCAGGTCTCGTCCATGGTCACAAAACGCGACAAAAAAAATTCTTTATCGGCCTGGAACTTTTGAAGATTCACCCTCGAAATGTCGACTCGTGTCTTTTTTTGCTCGTCGGTTAACATTCTCGGTACCCAACGCGCAGAGACCTTTTTCATATGCATTTTGTTGACAATGATTTTTTGAACGCTGCCATAGGAGATCCCTGTGACCTCAGCTACATGCCTTACGGTCACCCTTCGATCGGCCAACACGATATCTTCCACTTTTTTGACGTTTTCTCCAGTAAGGGACGTGGAAGGGCGTCCCTCGCGATGTTCATCTTCAGTGGAGGTTCTGCCCAGCTTAAATTCCTTTGCCCAGCGTGCGACTGTGGAATATGGAGGAGCAGACTCCCCCAATGTTTCCTCTAAGTCGCTGTGTATGTCTTTGGTAGACATATTTTTCAGGCAGAGGTACTTAATGACAGCTCTTATTTCATTTTTCTCCATTTTGATGTTTTCTCTTCGACAGTTCGTATTCAAATGAATGTATCTCCCGGTAACGGTGTCCTATTTATACATTTTTTTGAAGCTGAAGTAGTGGATATATAAGCAAGCAGAAAAAAAAAAATTTGGGTTTTTGTGCGTTCTAGAAATACTCGATTATCATTACTTATTGATCACCCCTCGTAATAAAAATAGCTTATTCGATACTAATAAAGAAGATCAAATGTTCAGAGCGCTTAGTATGTTATAGTATAGCATAGGTATAGTATAGAGTCGAAATATGAACTCTTCCCTGATTTAACGTGAGCGCTGTCAGAGTCGGGGATGAGGGGCGTGCACGCTTTGGAGACTTTGGATATTTATAGATTAACGTTGTTGGATATTGTGTATATCGTAGTGTATTTTATTGTGATCTGCATATCTGTAATTTGTCTTGTTATATGTTATATATTATTGTTATATGTTATTAGTGTTGTAATGTATGTATACAATGTGTACTACATGTGTTATGTGTACTACATGCAACAGGGTTTACGCATAGCATCATTTTGCGCCCAATTGAAAACCAGCGTCAGGCTTCCATCTAACATAAGGCTGAATTGGGTCCGTTTTGGCATCGTTGGTAATCCAAGTTGCAATTGTTCAAAATGTATTATTGCCAAAATAAACGATTTTTCTTTCTTTCTTTCAAATACGTGTCAAAGTATCCTTTCTAGAAAGAAAACATCATGACTAGGGTATAGAGGAACCTTGGGTAGGTAGGGGGGGAGGTTGCACAATACCAGCACTGCGCAGCTGACTCGGACTCCGCCCAGCACATGCTGGAAGACTGCCCCCGCGTGGGTGTCTGAACGCGAAGTCCTGGTCGACCAAATCGGAAGAGACATGTCCCCGCCAGCAATCATTGCTGCCATGCTGGCGGGTGAGGAGGGATGGGGCGCAGTTGTCTCTTTCTGTAAAGCTGTAATGCTCCAGAAAGAGACCGCTGAACGGCATCGGGAGAGGGCCGATCCCGAGCGTAGAGGATACCAGTCGCCGACGGAGCCGCGGGCCGCCAGAGAGTGGAGACCTCTGGTGGCAGATTGAATGCTGCGGTAGCGGGTAGGGGATAGGATGGCGGCCAGATTGCATTAACACGAAATTGAGGGGTAAGTGTTTTTTCCCCTGGGATAGGGCCTTTTTTGGCATGGTGTCAATTCGGGGAGAACTTGAAATAACATAGTCCAGGTCCTCCCAGAGTAGGACACCTGAGGCCGGCCGTCGGGGTGGTTTTTAGTGGAATCACCACATACTCCTAGCTCCTGAGTCCCCGAGGAACAGGAGATCCGTAGGGATTTTACACCCCGTCAAAAAAAAAAGGGCATAGAGTAACGGAGCAGAGACCTGTCATGTCATCTTTAACTGTTTCTTTTTAAACACAGTAATTTCTTTAATCTTGCTGATTATCATCATTGCGGGCAGGCGCTAGGAGGGCTCCGGTTGTCTTTATAACAGCAGTTCCCGGATCCCTCCTATGGCCATTAGCCCCTGGCCATACGGGTTGGTGTAGGGTTTCTGTGGCACACCGTGTGGTTTTAGTCGGTCCGATTCCGACACACCACCCCGCTGTAAACTCTGGTGGGGGTAATTTCTTCAACCTTGATGATATCTCTCGGAATATTTTTGTAGAATATACTTTCATGTATTAGATGTATCTTGCTAGCCACTATGTGCAATTTGTCCTTATGTCTTATGCGTTGACGATAGTTGCCCATTGTTCAACCCTAAATAACTTTGGGCAAAAGGGTATTTTCTTTTTAAAGGGACTAATCCCACCCACACGCCCACCACTGTAACTCCTGTACACCAGTATCCACAGCAGTGACCCACGAACACACCGAGTTATGACACTCGGGAAGTCCCAGGAAGAAATTTAACTGTCTTGGAACCCGCAACGAAATTAATCAAAAGGGTATTAAGAAGATGATGATGGCTAGACCAAATATCCCACATTAAGAATATATCCTGTATCGCAGGGGACTTTACAAACATACATAAAACGGACACAAAGAACACCCAGACTCGGAACAACAATTTGTGGATCACACAAAGTGTCGTCCCATGTGGGGATCGGACCCACAACACTCAGCGTGGTAGGAAGCGGCGTGGCGACCGCTTAAACCACTACGCCATCCGTGTATGATAAAAAAGAGAAAGCACAGAAATACTTACTCGTAAGGGATGGCTGTGGTGGGTGCTATGAGGGTGTTGAAGTGAGAATCATCACTGGCGTGGATCGGACACAACTTGTATAGGGGTGCGAGAGCTAGCACCTGTATTGAATAAAACATCACAATTAAAAACCTGGTTGATAATAAAAAATTCAACCATCTCACACACGTCAGTCTGATCTTAAACTAAGCAGAGCCTGTACTATGGTAACCAGACTGCTGATAAACATACTTATTTATAACTAAATACACACATAGTCCGTGTGGTGACGGATTAAGAATACAAATTATCTCTTGTAATAATGATATAACTCAATATAAATATGACATTACGAATTCCTTGACATCCATAATAAACTGGCTTGACATTAACAATTTAAAAATCAATTTAAATAAAACTAAGATTATACATTTCAGTCAACGGATCGCTCCAATCAGTTATATATACCAAAATATAAACATTGACAATCATAGTATAGAAAATGTTACGACTTCGAAGTTCCTCGGGTTAACGATAGATAAAAAACTAGATTGGAAATCACATATAGAGACGCTTTGCAAAAAATTATGTAGTTCTGCATACGCTTTGCATACGTTAACGTCAATCGTCAATACAGAAACAGTGATGACCGCATACTACGGTTTAGTTGCCTCAAATTTACGCTACGGCATCATTTTCTGGGGTAACTCTATAGATACATTAATTGCTTTTAAGTGTCAAAAGAGATGCATACGGTCAATGTTTAAACTAAAAACAAGTGATAGCTGTAAAACTTACTTTCAGAGGTATAAAGTATTGACGTTGCCAAGCATTTATATTTTGGAAATGTCAATGTTTGTTAAAACAAATCCAGGCTTATTTCCGCGGCTTGAGGATACGGTTACACGGAACAGGCGTGATAATAGTAGACTGCGCCTACTCCAAGCAAAAACTGTGCTTATGCGTAGAAGTGTTTTCTGTATGGCTCCAGTAATTTATAACCATTTACCGCAACTATGGAAAAACTTGAGCATAAGTGCATTCAAGAGCAAGTTAAAAGAATTTTTAGAAATAAAAGCATACTATTCTGTAACTGAGTTTTTAACGGAGAAAATATAATAGAATGCATGTTTTTAATAACTACACCATACCCTCTATTAATACACTTTTTTAATAAATGTGATACATTGTTTATTATGATTATGACATTTTTCATTTTTTTAATAATATTATTGTAATTGTTATTTTAATTGATATTGACATAAAATAGAATTCTGACCTCGTATGATGTATTAAATAAGCCCAACTCGTTATTAATGTTATCTTATTGCATGCCTGAAGGTAGAATGTGGCAGAAAAAAATATTATAACTGTAACACCTAATTGTAAACCCATGTTCGCAATGAAAATAAACTGATTGATTGATTGATTGAAATTGTCACCACCCTAATTCATCCCGTGGATGTCGTAAGAGCCGCCTAAGGGAGCAAACTAAGCAGGACAACAAACTTGAAACAAACCCTATACCAACCCGTCTGGTCAGCGTGGTATAGTAGGCCAAAACCTCCTTTCTAACGAGAGGCCTATGTCCAGCAGTGGACTAGTATAGGCTGTTGATGTGTGACACACATATTATAGATAAATTACACCTAGATACAGAACAAATGATTATGCTCATCACACAAGTATTTATACTGGTTGGGAATCAAACCTCTGGTGTAGCAGTCAGGGTCACTAACCACTAGAACATCAGTCAGTCAAACTTTTAAATTGCCTGAATTTTCAACCAGGCACACTTAAATAGCATAACTTAAATTATTATAATTCGTGTGGTGACGGATTTAGAATACGGAGTGTGATCACCACCCCTGTTCATCCCGTGGGTGTCGTAAGAGGCGACTAAGGGAGCAAACAGAAATGCAAAGACAATATACCAACTCGTATGGCCAGCGTGGTATTGTAGGCCAAAAACCTCCATTCTAAAGAGAGGCCTGTGTCCAGCCAGTGCGTTATTAAAGGCCGTTGATGATAATGATTTCTGTCCCCTCCTCAGGAGTGGACGGTAGGGGGTTTAGCCCTCCTATTACCTCACTCACTTAATCAAAAACAATTGCTGAAAAGCGGTATTCTGTGAGGCCATGACATCACCAGGCTGGCTGGCCTGGTAAATACATCTTTGGGTGCGTAGAGCATTTTTGAACAACAAACAGAAGAATGTATTTTTTGAGATGGGAAAAACCATTGAACTCGCAACACTATTACCGTTACCGCCACCTATGTATATAAGTATCTACATATATTGGCCCCGTTTACAAGAGAGTTGAGTTTGGGTTGAAATACATTGATAATTTAACTATATATAATATAAACATTCAAAAAATCATTCCAGTTATAATCAAAAATTTTAAAATTTTTAAGCTTTCACTTCTGTCGGCACTCCCGGAATGTCACTGTTTTTTTTGGTTAATGTAACACACCTAATAAACTAAGTATTGAATAAGGAATGAGCACTGACCGGCACGCTGTAGTACTTGGCGGCCTGCGTGACGGCGTGCGCCCCCCCCCGCCAGCAGCGCCGCGCCCCCCCCTAGGGCGGCTGACACGCTCACCACCACCTGGAAATACACACTCTTCATTACCCTTGCTCAGGCGGTTGTACGCTGGAACAGGACTTAACATACACACACAAAACAGTTTTCTTAACAAGCTAATTTAAAAAAAAAAGAACAAAAAAAGCCGGTGATTTTAATTTTTTAAATGTTTATGTACCCTTTTTTTTATTTTATTTTTTCCGTGCGGAAATCCCCTCGGATACCACCTGTCGGTGGCATGTCGGACTCGAACCGACTAAAACCGCACGCCGTCTCGGGTACTAATAGCCGGGGAACCAGGTATACCCTAGAAAGGAAGTCCCTGGTGCCCCGACATACCTCGGGTCATCTACAGACGAGTAGACGACCCCCCCCCCCCCCACGAATGTTTATGTACCCTGTGTCACTCTCACAATTAAAATTCTTATCAAGAATTATCTATCTGTTATTATGATCCGTGTTTTGACGGATTAAGAATACGTAATGTCACCACCCCTATTCATCCCGTGGGTGTCGTAAGAGCCGACTAAGGAAGCAAACTTCGCAGGACAACAACACTGCAAAAGAGAAAAAAAACTTGACACAAACCCTATACCAACCCGTCTGGCCAGCGTGGTATAGTAGGCCAAAACCTCCTGTCTAAGAAGAGGCCTGTGTCCAGCAGTGGACTATTATAGGCTGTTGATGTGATGTGATACAATCAGTGGTCAAAGCACTACCCTCCTAGCTAGGTTATGGAATAACCTGTATTATGGAATAACAGTTCCAAACCCCTTTCGGTGGCAGGTATTACAATATACTGTATTAAAGTATTGTTATTTTTAAGATTAATTTTCCTTTTTTTTGCAGTGCTTTTGTCCTGCGTTGTTCTTCATCTTAATTAATTTCTGTGTTAACTATTATGTACTACATTTTCCTTACGAAATAATATTTAAAACAAAAAAAAAACATACTAAAATACTATACAATACTGCGATTTAAATTGTGTTTCTTATAATAGAACCCCTATAATAATTAATAATAATATTCTACCGCATTCACACAACACCATCTAGTCCCAAACTAAGCAGAGCTTGTACTATGGGTACTAAACAACAGATATAAATACATATATACTTTTTTCCTAAATACATACTTATTATACATAGAAACACCCAGACCCAATCAAACATTAAAAGTTCATTTCAGTTTTTATTAATAAATTTAATTTTATTCCCTAAACTTTGCCTACAGTACCTTGTTGACACGTGACATGACAGCGAAGATGGCAGCACTGCTGATGATGGTCACAGACACGCCCGCTGCACTCAGCCTCGCTGCCATAGCGTGACTCTGGAAACAATTTTTTTCTCGTGATAAAAAGTGGCTTGTGTTATAACAGAGTATCAAATTTCATCCAGACCAGTTCAGCTGTTCTGGTGCTTGATATTCCTCAAGCACGAGAACAGCACTTGGGTTAAGGTGTTGGGAGAGCTTGCAGGGCTAAAATGTAGGATTTTAATTTCACATTAGTTGATAAAAGATGGACGTGGAATTTTAGCAGCAGATTATTGCGGAGCAGTTTATTTAGTAAGTTTAATTTTAATGTAAATGTGTACCAACGTGTGAATACTGTTTGCGGAGCGCGCCAAGATCCTTTAATGTGTGCAAAGAAAACCGATACTATTCTGCTGGCCGGCCAGTGTTGTCGTCAACTACCATGATACCGCCATACGGACCATGAATGGTTCTTTCAAGTAGACTTTCTCACTAGGAATGATTTCTGTGTCACTGGGTCTTCACAAACATTCAGACAACAGGCATACAGAACACCCAGACTTCATCAGCAGCCGTTAATTGTCCACTGCTGGACATAGGGCTCTCCTTAGAAAGGAGGTTTTGGCCTACTATACCATGCTGGCCAGGCGGGTTGGTATATGGTTTGTTTCAAGTTTTCCTTCTCTTTCCAGTGATTTTGTCCTGCGTTTGCTCCCTTAGTCAGCTCTTGCGACACCCACGGGATGAATAGGGGTGGTGACACTCCGTATTCTTAATCCGTCACCACACGAATTATAGTTACTAAATCCCGGGACTCTGAATCATAAAAGGTCACACCAGACTTAGAACAATAATAATGAAGTAGATGTTTTTTTTAACTTATATGGGAATCGAAACCACAACACCCAACGTGGGTTATTGGAAAAGCTACCTTAACGTGTAAGCAAAATATTAGTTAGAGATCGTCTATTATCTGAAATTCAACCATTAGACATTACGTTTTTTTTTACTGTTACTGTCACATTTTAACATATAAACAGCAACATACCTCTTGAACGTCTGTACCCTCAGCCAGTATCAGCTTGTATCTCCTGGAGGCTGCAGTCCTGAGGAACCTTTCAGCTAGGGCACTGGCTCCATACGTTAGTATCAGCTCATCAGCGTGAACGTGTTCTCGGGCTGCTGAGCACACTGTCGATGATGAGGACTCCAGTTCTGTGCGGAGCTGTGAATTGAGATAAAGAGTGAGAAAAGCTTGGGATTGAGTGGTGAAATCTAATTTCATCCAGTAGGTTACTCATTTGAACCCATAAGGGTATATGTTAATAGTACTCTTGTCACTAATAATACAATATTGTTGATAAATTCTAATTTTGTATCTAGTGCATATTTAATGTACCTACAATTTGTTTTGATAGACATATAATCGTCTAAATATGGACCTTATACCCAAAGTATAGAGTTCACAATGCGGTGATAGTGATTACCTCAGCGATATGATCCCTCAAAGGTTCTCGGAGGTCATGGTGAGTGGTCCCAATGGTGGCGCGTCTGGCGCTCGTCGCTAGAACTAATCGTTGCAAACTCTCGCCAGATGCCTCTCCACTCTAGAACAATAAATTGATTGCAACCAGACTGCTGATAAGCATACATCAAAATATACATATATAATAGTACTAGGGGCCGCAGGCTGGCAGAGTGGGGGTGGCAGAGTAACTGTAGGTAGGCGATAGAATTGCGGCCTGGCGCAAAAATGCGATCAGACCGCATATTGATTGGGCCTATAGGCGAGGGAAGCCCGCGGCATCCCCGAGGCATTACTAGGAACATTGTCGATCCGGGAGGAGGCCTGTAATAACATGGTCCGGGTCCTCCTCGGAGTAGGGCACCTGAAACCGTCCGTCGGGGTGGGTTTTAGTGGCAACACCACATATTCCTGGCTACTGCGTCCCCGCACTCAACACAACATTATTTGTAGGAATTGTATGCTGGATGTTTCTCTGATCCACAAAAATTATTTAAGTTATTGGGCAGAAAATTAGAGTAACCAACATCGCACGGAGAATTAGTACACTGAAGTGGAAATGGGCCAGTCATGTCCCCAGGCTGACTGATGGTCGCTGGAACCGACATGTGTTAAAGTGGAGACTGCCTTAGGGTCCCGTATTGTCAATTACCACTCTTCTGCGAATTTTCTCATTTTAATCAAAATGCATTTTCAAATAACGTACCTGATTAGCAGAAGCTCGGTTCTCATCTCTGATTGCGCGCAGTATTCTTCGAGCAACGTTGGAAGCTGCGAGCTGGTGGGGAAGTGCTGCAGCCACGCGTCTGCCAGCTGAACGCACCAGGCTTAACAGCTCACTGGAATGACATACTCTGATTTAAACTCAATGTTGTTGACATAACTATACAATAATGATAATCAAATCAATTTAAGTAATACGGAAAGAAACTTTTCTGAATAAGATTTATATTTATTTGCAGTGGAAGAGCCCCACTTCGTCACAAATAGAATAGCATGGCCTAACAGAAAACAATTCTTCTGCTTTTCACCTAGGGAGTGAGGTTACACAAGCTCGAAACCTCTCCTCCCCCTAATTCTGTTCGAAAATCAGTGCTAAGCAATTCTTTCGTTGCCTTTCACTGAGTGTGTGAGGTTACCGGAGTCCAAATCCCCCGCTGACCCGAGCGGGAGGGACTCCAAGTCCATAGGTAGTTGCTTACCATCAGGTGACCCATCTGCTTGTGTGCCCCCTTATACCATAAAAAAAAACTGGGGCTCAAACGGCGGCAGCGTAGTTGTGACTCTTGACTTACAATAGTCCATGAACACCAAAAGTCAATTACCATCAGGTAATAAATCTGTTTGTTTTGCCCCCAATACAATAAGGGAATAGTTATGCGAAAGAAAGATTAGTGGTGCCATACAATAGACACTTTTACGCATTAAAGTTGTCAAAGCATGTTAATGCGTAAAAGTGTCTATTGTATGGGACCACTAATCTTTAATAAACTGCCGGGCGGGTGGAAAGATTTGGAAACAGTTGTATTTAAGAGTAAACTACGTAAATTTCTAGTAGATAAAACTTACTACAGTGTAACAGAATTTTTATCGGAAAAATTTTTTACTTAAGTGCTATGATTAAGGATATATTATCTGGATGTCTAGTGTGGAGTTTGTAGTGTATGTTTACTATTGTATCCATTAAACTTATAAAGTACATTAAGACACAATTAAAAAAGCTCCTCATTAAAAAATGTTATTATAATGTATTGGACTTTATCTCTAACAATTTGTAGTGTTTTATTTTTTGTAATTATTTGTTTTTTCTTCCTGACATTAATTTATTATTTTGACTATAGTTTCACTTTGAATGTTGACATTGTATGTATCACAATATTATTATAGTAATCAATGATGCTAATAATATACCTATAGGTTATTTTATGTTTAAATTATATGCAATTATAAATGTACAAATTGAAAATTTGCACACCCATAGTGGTAAAGCACAGTGAACCTGTTGTGAATGAACACCATGTAATTAATACCTGTGTTATGCAAATAAACAATCTGAATCTGATGAATCTGAATCTGAAAGTCAAGCCAAGCCGTAGCCTTAGCATTTAACAATCATTTCCCTAAAAAATGAATGAGAGAGTGAAGGAATGAATGAATATCTCTATATAAATAACATTCATTCCATCACTCTTTCATTCATTTGTCTATAAGTCATAAAAGGTATATTGAGTCATTACATTTTTGAATTAAGTACCTAGCTCTGTTATAAAGGCAAGTAAAAAAATCATAAGAATCTCTCGTAAGACTGTTTTGGAAGAGAAGTAAATTATAATAGTTTGACACATCAGACTGCTGATAAACATACTTATATATTTTTACATACATGCATATAATACTAATTACACCTAGACACAATACCCCACAATATTTGTCCTGGGTAGGAATCAAACCCTTTGTTATACTTTTTATAATAATAATAAGGTTTATTCTCTTTTAACAAATAGATGCCTTAAGACAAAATAATTCATTTTTTGCGAGATGTAGGTTAAAAAAAATTAAACCAGTTACAGGTCACCAGGCCCTCTGCACAGTAAGAATAGGACGACGATAACGACCATGTGAAAGAATTAAAGTAAACTTACTAGGCAGTTGCATGCTGTGACTCGCTGATAATGTTCTCCAACAAGGTGACCATTGATAAAGCCACATTGTTTGATCCTTTCAATTTGCTGGAACAATGACGTGTATATTTTTAATTTATTAATAACTAGAAAAAATAAATAAGGTAGAAGGGTAAAAACCCAGAGGCTAAGGAGGAAGACCTCTGAGACTGGAGACTGTCTGAGTCTATACTAGATAGTAGATAGATCTAGATACCCAGAGGCCAATACATATTTTGATTGTTTCATCAAATCCATTCTAGCCTCAGCATCTTGGTCAGTTGTTGCATACAACCCAAGACAAGTCTGGTGGAAGGTCCGTCTTTTATGGTATACATAGATAGTCCATGACGTGTCTGCTTGTGGGCAAACAACCAAACAAGTCATGATGTGATGGTTACTGCATTGCACCAACATAGCAACCAACCAAATGTTATAAGAGTTTATATGTGCTATATTATAGTGTAAATATCAATATATAAAATAATATGGACACTCCTTAAAGCGTTATTCTGATGACTCCATCAAAAACTTTCTATAAAGCTTCCGTACTTAAGCTTAAAAGGGTCTTTTATAATATAATATTATGGATATCATAAAACCAATATACATAGTTAATTCTGATGACGTATGGAAGAAAAAGGTCAACGACACGATGCATTTCTATAATAGCTGATGCAACAAATCCATAATATGTACAAAGTTCAGTTTTCGTGTAAGGAAATTCATCTTAAAATTTTAATTTACTGTTACAGTTACATTTTTTAGATGCTATGTGAGGCAAATGAAGAAATTTATACTATTTTTATGAAGATTATTCTTCAACTTAACAGAAACAATATGACAACAACATACTAACCCATTTTTGATGTCAGCAACAAATTTGCCGATTTTATCCACGAATTTGTCATCTAATTTCTTGACTGGACCTTGCGACGGAGACATTTTACACAGTAAAACCCTTTAACTATGTTATAAATCAAACTAATCTTTATGTTTATAGCACCGTGGCCACTTCTTTATGAATACATAACCTTAATAACTTACTAACATTCTGACAACTGACAAGCATGACAACAGCCTGTGGTGTTGCAAGTTTTGTTATTTATACATAGTTTGGTTTAGAACTAAGTGGCTTTACGCATACCTATTCTCTCCAGATCCCTGAAGTTGCTATAAATATATAGGTTATTTATTGATATACTTAATAATTATAATTACTTCTTTTTTACACCACGCTCCACCACGTATTTTTTTTTTCAATGATTAGCTTGTTTATTGCTAAGGTTGCCTTGAAGCTGTTTATAGGTATCGGGCTAAAGATCTATTCTCCTGCACTTGAAGACAATGATCATCAACACAATATCTCATACTGTTGCAATGGATTGTTAGGTACTCTGTTATATCTACTCGTATAAATTTGAATTCAGTTCAACGAGTGGACAAAAAAAAATCGTCTCATTACCAACATTTAAAAAAACACGAAAGCCAACATACGAACAGACGGGGTAGGTGAAGACTTTCCTATAAAAAGAGGAGTTAGACAGGGAGACCCATTATCACCTAAACTCTTCTCGGTAGCTCTAAAACACGTTTTCAGAAGTCTCGAATGGTTCAACTATGGACTAAATATAAATGCAAAGTTAATAAACCATTTTAGATATGCAGAGGATCTATAGTCCATTTAATCTAAGAGGTACCGTTTGACAGTTCTAACAGATTGATGAATAGAGAGTGGGTCAAAGAAATCGATAACTACAATATCCGATTCTTAAGAGAATTCGATTTCATTATTTTGTATTTACATATTGAATACAGTTTTACTGATTTATGTATGTTATTCTAAAAGCCCGTATATTATTATACCTTATGTTTATTATTTATATATTAATGTGTTAAAGTAAATGACAGAATTTTATAAGAGACATCATTTTTCGGGCTTTTTAGTCCGAACCTAACCGATAACAATCATTTCAATGGACGTAAGTAGGGATACGCAAAATTTCGAAAGTGTCGACACTAAAAAAGTATCGAATAAAAAGTATCAATACCTGAAAGTATCGAGTATTTTTTAATACATTTATGAAAAACCTGAATGGAGTGTTTTGTTTGTGTTGCTAAGTTTGGCAAAAAAAAAACGTTTCCTGTTCCCTCTTCTTTTCAGTATTTTGAAACAATTTTTATACGAAGCTGGATCATTTTCTATTTTTTTTAATACTTCCATATTCCGCTCATTTCTCCTGGCGGCGGCATCTTCTTGAGATTGATTTAACTTTAATATATTACACGTACTGTATATTTTTTACGATTTATACGATTTCATTTCGAGTAAGACGAGACGAAAGAGAATCCTTTGTGGTGGCGTTTTGAAATTTGCTTGTCATTATCACTCACTCATATTTAACTCTTTAAATTTTCGTGCTCTGATTTATGGCGATTTTCGAAGAAAGCTAACTAAAATGTTTGGAAAACAAAAAAAATGATAAAATTATAACACAAATAGTATTTGAATGATTTAGCCCTATCATGCATGGGTTTACTAAACTTTTGGTCAGATGAAGGTGTCTTAAAAGCGAGACAAAAATATAAATAATTATAATAAACTTTACTGGGTAGGTATCTAATTACTATTAATATCTCATTAATATTAATATTAAATTACACAGTGTTAATATTAAATTAAAGATGAGACATTGTATTACACATAACAGTTGCATTATCGTTGCAGAAATCTAAATAGATTATTATATGAGTGCGGCGAACTGTCTATATTAAGAACAGCCCTCGGTTGGCGTTGACAAGAATAAGGGAGGCGTGAAGAGGATGTTACAGCTAAATAAATCAATCTTGTACTGTAACAATACCTCACTTCACTCCTTAAAGAATAGTAATAATAATAATAGCCTTTATTTAACAATCTTTCTTACAATATAGTTACAAATAATGTTATTTAATTGTTTGACACCGGTACGCACGTACCTAAAAGAATAGTCTAACGGAGACTATTCTGAAACTAGACCAACCCTGAAATGCAAAGAATACCCAGACTCAGAACAACAATTTGTGGATCACAATCACAATCACATCAAAGTGATGTCTCATAACGGGTTCGAACAATTAAGGGTGGTGGCGAGGTGGGCGCTTAAACCACTGCGCCATTCGTGCAGTCAGTAAAAAACAGTGTGTCTATGATAAGTTAGGGCCACTGATAATATAATTGATGTGTATCTTAAGTTTTTGTTTCATCCGGATTCGGTAGCTGCATCTTTTAAAATTTTTCACTCAGCTACCGAGATCGGATTTTAGATATGGTTTTAACACAACACAAGCCCGATTTTTAATTTGTATATTACTGATGACATTTTTCAGATGGTCGCAATAATTTCAACAAAATTCACTTGATCTTTCAGAAGTTTTACATTAAGTTGGGCATAGACTAGAGCATTTTAATGTAATGTAACGCTCACTCACAGCGTGTGAGCATTTACCTGTAACATTTCTTTCTAGCTTGCCTAAACTCTTTGTTGAAATGTCGCACCTACAAATCACGTGTGTTGCGTTTGTCTTGATAACCTAAATAATAAAAAAAAGTAACTAACTACCTCGTTCTTCATCCCTCGCCCCGCGCACATCACCAACTGCTATCCCCATCACCCAAGGTCATGCTTTTGCTCGATAAAATGTTACACCAAAATGCTCGTTAGTTTATAAAATCAGGTTGTCACAAAAAATCGGGGAAACAAAACATATTATAAAACAGCGAATTCGAAGTGTTCTGTTACTAGTAAATGCTCTAGTCTATACTTACCTCTTACTCTAATCTTCTTTTTGCTGTTTATTTGATTAACTTGTTTATAAAATAGTTTCTGTTAGTTTACACGTAATGTTTTTCTTTTGACTAGTGTGTTTTGATATATTTTTCCCATTTTTTATGTTTTCATATATCATATCATATCAACAGCCTATACTAGTCTACTGCTGGACATAGGCCTCTCCTTAGAAAGGAGGTTTTGGCCTACTATACCACGCTGGCCAGACGGGTTGGTATAGGGTTTGTTTCAAGTTTTCCTTCTCTTTGCAGTGCTGTTGTCCTGCTTAGTTTGCTCCCTTAGTCGGCTCTTACGACACCCACGGGATGAATTGGGGTGGTGACAATTTGTATTCTTAATCCGTCATCACACGGATATTTATGTTTTACTTCACTTTAAATTCTATTCCATCTTTATTCTTTAGGTATCTTGTTTTCCTTTCATTGCTTTTTAACTTTTAGTCCTTAATTACTGAAATACTGGCACATAAAACAATGTTGTAGTATATTAAACAATGCGCCTGTATCTGTAATTTAAAAAATAGTGTCTATAAGTTTATTTTCTCGTGGCAATTATTATTCGTAGTTGTTTTCCCTTTCTTCTCATAAAGCTCAACCCCTTGAAAATGGGCTTATACTGGATTGGATTCATTTTGCTAAATATTTGACAAAACAGATTATTGCTATTGTGTATGTTGATCTATGACTTTAAAGTCAACATATAAAAGACGATTTCAATTATTAAATTTTATCAAATGAAAATAGTCTGATTTTGACTAAGTAATGTATCAAGGGATGGAGCGTTGCTAACCTGTAACAAAGGTATTCCTTACCTACTTCAGTCTCTCATAACAAACGTCAAACAAAGTAGCTGTACATTTCTGACATTTTATTTTTCAGTAATTGATTAAATAAATCTGTATTTTTTATGATAAAATTATCTTTTATTTATTTAATAATGAAGCATTTACTACCGTACATATTATAAACATCTTATAGATTAGTTTTAGATTGGGACTGTTGCCTATGAGTATCTTTGTCGTAATTGCTTCTACATCAGTACGTTGAGCTACTGCAGTCTTGGTCTGGCGACCTTCACCTATCCGTTTTCCTAAACCTAATTTTTCTTCTTTCTTTGGAAACGATGATATTGACATAGAGTGTTAGCGTAAGGCAAGTGGCCGGCCATTAAAGAAACCAGCTAAACCTTCTTGCGATAAGTACACCAACCAAAGAAAATTAGAAGAGGGTGAAAGAAGATCATGATGATGATAAGTTGCACATTATTAAAAGTATCTCATAAAATCATTAGCTTTTTTTTTAATAAAATATTTAGAAATGTCTACTCCATTCATTTCATTTGTCAAACAGTCAAACTAAAACGAAGAATACAGCCAGTATGTGATCGTGCGCTAACAAAACCAACGCGTAACAATATAACGAAAATAATAGAATACCAAACTAAAAATAAACCAAATAATATAAATTAACAAACTTTAAATAGCAACACTTACCTAATCTATTCCAAAAACAATTGGTTGCCAATAAAATAATGCAAATATTTGAAAACGCACCTACCAAAAATAACCATAAATAACACTTTTTTTTAAATTGATTGTCAATGTCATTCAATTTAAAATTTTACCGCGCTCTGTGAAAAATCTACAGTGTCCATAGTGAAGTGTAATTATTTTTATTTTTCTTATAATTTATATGATTTTTGTGGAATACCCGCACTCAAAAAAGGTATTAATATATAATATTATTTATATAAATATGTTATTTAATTAAGCTACAATTTATTTTTCCCTCCATGCTAATTCTAGTTGCGTATTAGGCAATCTGAATGCAAAAGGACGAACTCTTATATCCTTAAGTGTATGCTTCTACCCTTTTTTACTTCTAATTATGATTACCTATAAATATACCTACATATTTGTATAGGATATTGGAATTATCTAGAATAATTGTTCGGAAAGGGCTATTTTAAGGCACCGTTATTTTAAACGTATTGAGATGTCTATGACAAAAGCTGTTCATTTTTAAGGTGTTGTTAATATGACACCTATTTAATAGTTCAAAGGACAACTGGTCACCTGATTGGTAAGTCATTACCACCGCACATGCACACATGCAA